CACACCATCACAATCTGGCAGAACTTCCGAGTTGAGACGTTCCTCTCCTTGGCTGCCATGTGGAGCCAAGTGTCCTAGTGGACGAAGTCTTTGGGATCCAGTGCATGTTGCAAATGGAAGATGGTGGAAGGGATAGAAGTGCAGCAAAGAGGAGGGGAGGTTTTGTCTGGTGGGGGTGGCAGGTGTTGTTTAGATTAGTTGGTGCCAACGATTGTGTTAAAAGCAGTTGGATGCGAACACAAGGGAAAGTTTCTGGGGAAAATTTGGTGCTTGTTTTAGCTCTGAAAAAATAATACTCTCATGTTTTTTGTTTTCTTTTTAAACAGTCAACTTTTATCTATTTGGACTCAACAGGGGATAAATTGTAAAGTCCCCAGTCTGAGGTCTGGCCATGTTAGTCATCTCAGTCAGAAATTTTTCCCAGTTCTCCCCAGAGATTTCAAATCCGTTCAATAAACTTTCTTTGGTATTTTAAAATCTCAACCTTCCTCCCTGCCCTCTGCAATTTGAAAGAGGACAAATACTGGATGAGGCTTTGTGAAGCTCCAATTCTTCTCTCTCTCGCTCTCTCTCCATTTTCAGCCAGTTGTACGGTAAATCAATATCAAGGTCCAAATCAGTGTCACTCCTCCAAGAGCGCACTCTCCCTTTTGAAATCTGAATGTGGAGTGAATAATCAAGCAGGAGAGTTTGCCCATTGACCTCCCATCCTGCAGGGGGCAGGGTAGGGGCAGCAACCTTTCCCTTGCCCTCCTAGGGAGAAATTACCTCCATATTACGCTTGCAATGGCTTCAAACTGGCCAATAGAAGCACCAGTGCTAAGGTGAGGGTCAAATCCATCATCTTCAGTTGGGAGATAAGTGCTTTTACCAGTATGGTTCTGGCCAATAAATATTTAATACCTACTGATCACAATGAATGCTGCTTACCGCTGATAACTGTTCTGGGTCAGCTGGATATTCCTCGACTGTGTGCTTTGGCAGTGAGTTATCGTGCTTATTACCATTCTAACTACAGTGACCTGCTGTAGTATTCTTTGTGGGGGATTCCCTGGTCTTGTGGTCGTCATGTGAAGGGCAATCCATTGAACTAACAGATTTCCTAACTCATGATCTGATGTAATTTGCTGGTTTCTATTCTACAAATCTGCGCACACCATGGACTTTACCTAAACCCTGGTCCCAGCGTCCAGTTCTGGAAGGTGGCTCAACCATCAGTTGATCCCCAGTAGTGTGACCGAGATATGGAAACTAAAGATAAATCCTGTCCCATTCTCTCCAACCTGACCAGTTAACTGCAATGGTGAAAAGTGCCTATCCAATTACTTTCACATAACAGGAAAATATTTTTCCTTTTGGCTTCACCGTACAGGCAGAGTAGGAGAATGAGCTATGTTGAAATGGTCCATTGAAAGGTTTGATGGTTCCTCCCCAACCCACAAAAAACAAAGGTTATCCTGTCATGAGGATTCCATGTGTGCCATCTTGCCTGCTCTTCCTTTTACTTAAGGGGATTATTTAATTTTTGATAGCTTTGAATCAGATGGTAACTGATTTGCCTTAGCCTGAATCAGCAGTTTTGTATTTCTTTGACTGTACTTGTTACTCTGTCCAGAAAAATAAAGTACTCATCATCAAGGCTTAGACCCTGTGGTCTTTGAGTTTCAGAACTGATTTACAAACCCTACCTTTGCATGAGTTAAATCTGGTCTCTCTTTGCTGAATCAGAGGACCTTTAATAAAACGTACAGTAGATTGGCTACAAAACAGAAACCAGAGAGTAGAGGTTAAAGGTAGTTACCTAGACTGGCAACTGGTGGAACTAGATTTCCACAAGATCAATGTTGGGGTCCACTGTTATTCACCATTTGCAAGAATGATTCAGAAGTCGGGAACTGGATGTTAATTTCAAACTTTCCTGTTTGGGGTTGTAGTTGGAACAGAGAAGTACTGTGGTCAGAAAGAGGAGAAACATCAAACTTGCTGAATTGATGTGTAATTGTCAAAGAACTTCAATATAGATGTGAGAGATAGTATACATTTTTTTTGGTCGGAAGAATAAGAAGGCAGCATAGCAATTGGAAAGAAAAAGATCCAGGTTGTTTGAAACACAAACACAAACACAATATTGTATCACAGGATAATATGGTCTTAATTTTAAAGGCAGCAAGGAAAGCACTGGTGTCATTTTTAGAGGGATAGATGTGTAAAGCAGAAAAGTTACATTAAACTTGCATTGATCTCACAAGCTCTGAGCTGCATATTATAAAGAGGATATTGAGTTCCTGGGAAAGCTGTAAAGGAGATTTCTTGGAATGATGCCAAAGCTAACAGGTTTTACCTATTGGGACAGGTTGAGTAAACTGGACTCTCTTCTGCAGAAAAATGACTGAGGGGTGACCTGATAAGGTCTTCGAGATTATGAGAGTTAATGTAGCCATAGAAATGATGTTTCCATTTCGGGTTGAGACCAGATTAGGGATCATAGATATAAAATGGTCGTTAAGACACCTAAAGGAATTTCAGAAGAAGCTTCTTTACCCAGAGAGTAGTTAGAATGTGGAACCCACCATCATGAGAGTGATTAAGGGAATCAGAACAGATGTGTTTAAGGGAAAGCTGAGGGATAATTAAAAGAAAAAATATTGATGACGTGTGGTAAAAAGAGCTGGAAAGAGCTTTTGTGAAGCATAAACACCAATGGAATTCTCTATCTGTATTCTGAAAATATTTTCTAATAGTTTTGCCCAAACATACACCAAATCACAAGAGCAGAATTAGACACTTTTACTTCACAATATATTCAATGACTTTATTTAAATATGACATTAAAGAGAGAGAGCCATAAACAATGGCTATACACAGCTATATACTGGGTCAGAGATGAGTACTGAAAGTAGTTTTATCCATTAAATATTCAAAATAATCTGTACAGATCAGCAACTAGAGCCTTTACTCACTGAATTCCAATGGAGTTGCTCACAAAAAGCAAGCCTTTTGTTTGATTCATAGGCCCAACTTTGCAGACTGCTTTAATGTTTGATGGAGTTTTTGATTCGGTGAAGTTGAATTCCTGGCAACTATCAACTATTTATTATAAACTATTTTACATTTTCTAGTTACATTTTGGAATCAAGTGTAACATTATTTGATGCATCCAACACATAGCCTGTGGAGCAGAGATGATGGTTCTTAAATAGTTTCTGGATCTTACTTGCTATTTCCTGTCTCAAACTCCAATAACAGATAATCGGTCCTTCATCCTATCTAGGTCATTGACATTCCAGCTCAGGATAGTAGAAATGTAACCTATCATTCCTATCCATTTCCTGTTTCCCATTTATTTCCACTTTTCCTTATCAAAGCTATCATGTAACTGTGTCACTGGCTTTTCCAAGTCTGTTTGTTTGTGTACTTTTGACTCTCAGTCCAACCCCAAGCCCATCTCTCCATCTGAACTTTTGTTCTTTGTTTTACTTTTCTTTTTTGCCCCTTGTAAACTTCTGTCTTTTATTGTCACATCCCTTTTCATTTATCACTCTCACGTACTTTGCCTCCTCCAAGCCTTACCCTAACCAATAAGGAACTCATTGCATCTTCTATTACCTCCAGCCCAGGCTTAGCTCCCTGTTGTATAAATCTATAGCATCTCCTGTGCTTCTGATGGTATCCTCCAATTGCTCATCAATGCACTTAGCACTAGCTCGTTAGGAGCAGTAACCCCATTTGTCCAATCCCGCTTTCATGAATCTTCCTGACCATTGCGTCAAATGGGGGCCGATCATTTTTCTGCCCAACTTACTCTTCCATTGCTAACCCTGTGGATGTTGTCAGGAGATTAGCTCGCACCATCCCTCGAATAGCTCCCTCTATAGTGTCCGCTGATTTGAGAACCAAGCCTTTGCCATTCATGATCTTACTGTGGATGATTGCATCAACATCATGCCCCCTGACCTGGTTTGGGTTGATGACATCTTTCTCCTCAGTGGCACCTGTCCACTTGGTGAAACCTTCCTCCACTTGTCACTGAAGTCCGTTGCAGTCAGTGTGGTGCTCCTCACCAAATCACACCTTAGGCTGTTGACACCATTCCCCAGGCACTTCCTTTTCCTTCAAGCGTCACATATTATTGCATCCCGCTCTCAACTCTGAAATCTCTCCCAGCCACACAATTCCCTAAGATATCTGTACTCATCTCATTCTGTAGTCCTGACTATCCCCATTTGTAAATTCTCCACCATAGGTGCCTTAAAGTTCCATGGGCCCAGCTCTGGAATTTCCTTCATAATTCCCTCTTTCTCTCTATTTCAAGAATTGGTAACCTTTTCTTCCCCTGTCTTGCTGATGTATTGGTACTTTGCTGGAGGTAACATTGTGTTAGTGCTGCTTGTGCATCAGCACCTTCCCCGGCTTAGCCATCCAAATCCAGCATTTATTTGCTTGCCCTCAAAGCTGGCATTGGATGCCAATTACAAACAGGAGCCTGGCTGATTTTTGACCTCTTCCCTCCCTCTGCCCTACCCCCACCCCCATTCTGCCCATTGTGTCTGTACCAGCCCTTTTAAAGCGCTGCCCTTTGTTTATCTTTTCAAGTATTTATCAATTCACTCTTCCAAAGTTCTTACTGAATCTGTTTCCCACCCTCCTGTGGAGTGCATGTTTGCCATGTAAACTGAAGCAAATTCTTCCCCTCCCCCAACCGCCCCTCTCCCTTTTTGCCAATTAATTTGAATGTGGGACTCTGCAGGTCTGCCAAACATGGCTACTAAAGACTCAACTCAATCAGAAAAGAGAGTTGCAAAATCCAGTCTTAACCTCTGACAGTCATGTGTCTGGTTAAAGAGCAATTGAAGCAAAAAGGGGCAGTTATCTGTGAGTCTTAATGTAACCATGTCAATGTCATGGACCGACTGTTCCACAAAACTCAAGATTCATCTATATACGACAAAGGAAAAAGGGTCAGGTTCTTTAAATAAGTCCAGTTCTTTCTGGACAGTTACTTTGACTTTCTAGAAATGAATCACTTTGAAAGTGACCTCATATTTCTTCCACCATTTCACAATGAACTGATCACAAGGGCAGCAAGGTTTAGAGTCTGGTCAGATTGGAGGAGGCAGTGGCTCATTCTGGTGGTTTGGGAGTGGTCTCTTGCCGGAGCTGCCAGTCTCCCACCTCCTCTTCCGGACAATGACAGCTGCACCGATCGTCCCCTACTGTCATCAGGGCCACTGGAAGATCCTCTAAAAACCAGAAGTGGAGCAGCATTAGGGAGGTTGCAAATCGAGTCACTCTACTTTGCTGCATCTAATCTCTCTTTTAAAAATAAATCTTAATTGTAATTTCTCTGGAGTAAAGCAGTTTAGTTAATTTTGTCACTTATCAATCCTCAACTTCACTGCCCCGTTATTGATGAGTAATACTTCAGTTGTCTAGGCCCCCAAGCTCTGGAACTGCCTTTAAACTTCTCTCCCCTTCTCTCCTTTGAGACACTCCTCAATACATTGTTAACGTAGAATTTCAGAGCACACGAACAGTCCCTTCAGTTCTGCATCTCTGTGCTGATTTACGGTGAACCCCATATCTGTTTATTCCCCGCTTCTTTAAGGATATATCTAACTTCCCCTGAATTGCTTGTTTTATTACATAACAATGACCACTACATCGTGTCTTAAATATATGTACAAAATGCATGGAAAGACAAGAACGCAACTATTGCTGTAATAATAGCACATTTTGAAAGGAATTATACATCATACATATAAAGATAACATTCTTGCAAGCCATGAGGTGAAATGCTGTAGCCCTCAAAGCAACAACGGTGAATTGCCAAGACCGGTTGAGTTTTGGGCAACCATAGTTTTCATATGATGGTGCTGTTTGTGATGGTGTGAATGTGAGACACATGTACTCACCATGATTTGTTACATCCAGAGCCAGATGCTTCTTTTTTTTTCTGTTCTGTACAGCAAGGTATAAAGTGAAAGGGATGAAGGAGCATGAAAGCAATATTAAAGCGGCAATCCCAACGATGCCCTCATTTTTTGTTGCATCTAAACAGGGAAAAGTGAAAAAGAAAGAGGATATACGATCTTTAGCTGTCAATTCTCACCATTTCTCAACTAACAATGGAACAGTTATTCTGCTTTATCACTAAGTGGACAACAAAACTACAGAACAATGAACTGAAATGATTGAACAATTTCCACTCTCAATTAAGACAGCTATGAGAAACCAGGATTGAAGCTAGACATCTGGTTTGGGATGTCGAGTGGCACTGACAGTGCAGGTTCAATTCCCATACTTGCTGAAATGACCATGCAGGCCTTATCTTCTTAATCTCACCTCTCAGCTGGGGTGTCATCGCCCTCAGCTTAAACTCACTACCAGTCGTCGCTGTAATCTATGGGCCTCTGGGACAAAGTAACTTTCACTTTATTTACGTTGTGTAACTAGCCCCTGACAGTGGCGTAGTAAGAATTTCACTAGGTTCAGGGAAAATCAGAGATCCAACTTACAAACACAGTCGATGTGGTTTCAGAACCCACCATAGCAGCTGGTGGAATTTAAACTCAACCAATAAATTTGGAATTGAAAGTCTCAGTAATGGTGACCATGAAACAGCATTGCTTTCACATACAAGATTCTTAGGGAACTTGACAGGGAAGATATGGAAAGGTTGTTTCCCCTTATAGGAGAGTCTGAGACCAGATATTATGATCTCAGAGTAAGGGGTCACATAACTAAGACAGAAATGAAGGGGACTTTATTCTCTGAGGGTAGGGAATATGTGTAATTCTTTACCACAGAGTGTCATCGAATATATTTGTAGACAGTCGGTCATTAAGTATACTCAGGGCTGAGATAGATGTTTTAATCAGTAAGGGAATCAAGGGGAAAAGGCAGTAAGGTGGATTTGAGGGTTATCAGAAAGGCCATGGTTTCATTGAATGGCAGAGCAGGCTTAATGGACTGAATGGCCTCCTGCTCCTATATCTTATAGTTTGTTGGAAAACTTACCTTACTTTTATTGGGAGACTATAGTTTTGGTCGTGAATTGTGTTTGCTGTTGATTACAGACTAATGCCCTAAATCCCACTCACTTCCCAATCTCTAGCTGGTGTCAAAACTCACTTCATCGAAGCAGTTACTAAGTAAACCACTAATTGAGTAGCGTGCCCCTGTGCTTTTTCATTCTTGAGATTGTGCAGAGTTAGTTCGTGTCAGATGAGTTGTTACAGTTAGGTCCTGAGTTCTTGAACAGGAGAATGGATCTGAAGAGGTGTATTCAGTCTGTGCTCCTGCTCATTACCCAGTGCTGGATCTCAGTGTCAGTGGGAGACAACTGGTGTTGTCAGTGCTAAGGACATTAACTGTCTCGAATGACTACAGTCCATGTGGTACCAATCAGCCTGCTTGACCATGTAGGTCAGCCCAACCACCACTGGCACACACTGGCAGGAGTGTGGATGCCCAGGCTTCTTCCAGCTTAACCTCCAAACTTCCCATCTCTGTTTTGATGGCAGAGTTTAAAACAGAAGCCAGGAGGAAGAGCTGTATTTGTACAAGCTGACACTGGCTGGTTTGGCCAAAAGACCTCTTTTGGTATTATGCCTTTATGCATTCCTCTGATCTGAACTCATGGTTCCTTGGCTTCTTTCATGTTATCTAAAATTCAGGAAAAAGTCATTAGGAAGTGGCTAACTTCCTCATCTTTATATACTTCTCTTTCATGAGATATATCTGTCACAAGCAAGATCAGCATTTATTGCCCTTGAGTAGATGTGGCTCAGTGCCTTTGTGAACTGCTGCATTCCTGAACAGTAGGGTACACTCACAGTTCTATTAGGAAGGAGTACCAGGTCTTTAAGCAACAGTGAAGGAATAGCTATACATTTTCAAGTCAGAATGATCTGTGATTTGGAGGAAATGCTAAGAAAGGAGGCTTGCTGAATTGTGTACATGGTGCACACTGCTGCCACTGACAGTAGAGGGATTGAATGGTGACAGTGATGGATGGGGTGGCAATTGTGTGAGATGGTGCTGAGCTTCCTGACTGGGTTTGGAGATTCTGGTGCATTTTTGCTGAGCTTGAGTGAGTCCATTCCGATGGAGAATGACACCCAAAATGTTCCCTAGGCTGGCTCACCGCATGGTGGTATTTCCAGCATTTCCTCTTTATTCTTTCTGGATTTCTTTGCTCTAGTTCTGGGTTATATTAGAACAGAGTCTTACAGTCCAGAAAGATGCCATTCCATCCATTGCAATTTGACAACACTAAGAAAATATTGCCAGTGAGTTTATGGTGCACATGAACTACCTTCGATCAGTGGATTGTCTGGCTGCCTAGGGGTTCCGATCGTAGGTCGGACTGAGGTGGTCAGAAGCTGTGGGACTGTCACTGGAGCTCCACATATTGCATCCTCCGTCTGTGAACCATTCCTCAGGACTTGGAGACGTTTTGCGGAGCAGCTAGTATAGCAAAGATAAAAGGAGATTAGACACAAACCTATTAATTCAGCCTTCTGTAGCCGAGATATTTTTAGAAAGTTGTGCAATGACTGGTCTGATCCGTGGGCGGGATTTGAAGTGGTTTCGTTTTATCTTTGCCTGTGCACCCCAGCTGGAGAGCATTACGCGTCTAACTTTATCATTCTGAAATAAGTACTTCCTGACTGTACAGTTACAGTACTGTGAGCGAACAAATCTGCAAAGAGGAGAAACCACTCTGTCAGAGATAGCAAGAACTGCAGATGCTGGAGTCAGCGATAACACAGTGCAGAGCTGGAGGAACACAGCAGGCCAGGCAGCATCAGAGGAGCAGGAAAGTTGATGTTTCGGGTTGGGATACTTCTTCAGGAAAAATCACTCCATCACCTGCTTTCAACAATATTTTCAAGCACCTTGCCGTGCTGATGAATGGTGGAAGGATTTGGAAAGCTCTTCATTGTTGCTACCTATGGTTATGAGTGAAGCCTTTAAGTTTCCACTCGCCGCCCAGGCTCTGAACTCTAATTTCAGAAATGAGTGGTACAACTCATGGACGCCCTTTTAAACGGACATTGCTGTATGACAGTTACCAATAGGCCGATTCTTAAACGGTATTGCCATCAGTACAGCTCCTCTTAAAGGGGATTCTCCACTCAGTACGTTTGGCCATTTCATTTACAGGAAACCTCAGAAGAACATTATGACGTTATCACACAGAAAGCCTATAAGGTATCTTTGTTTCAATCACTTCTGCAAAGATTTGACTCTGAAAATTCCCGTCCTCTTGAAGATGTGACTCTCACTGGGTTAATTGTTATAGCCATCTGCTATCTGCCTAAATAGCCGTTGCACATGTATGAGCTTTGGCATCAACAACATAGAAATTCATCTGTGGGAGCATCACTCAGACACTCAACCCCACAAAGAGAAGCAACACTTCTTGAGAATTCAGTGTAGAACCTGGTCAAGACCAAGCTCGTTGCTCTTTAACGATCAGTTAGTGTAGACTGACTCAGAGAATCATAGAAAATAGGAGCAGGAGTAGGCCATTCCCCTGAGCCGTTCATCATGATCATAACTGATCATCTAACTCAGTACCCTGTTCCTGCTTTCTCCCCATACCCTTTGATCCTTTTAGCTCTAAGAACTTGATCTAACTCCTTAAACTCAATGATTTACAGTAGTCTCGATTAGTCCCAAGCCTAATATTGTTTTACACTTAGCTTTATTTCCAATTCCACAATCCTCCCTGTCACACCCTCCTGCTTTCCCAACCATTCCCTCAGATCACACTTCCCTATATCTTACAGACACAGCCTCTCCCTAGCTCCATAACTTCCTTCAGCTCTTCCAGGTGTCTTCCCTCATCCAATTCTGTGCATTGCTGGTTTCTGTTGGTAGCCATAGCTTCGGCTGTCTGAGTTCTAATTTTTTTTTAAAATTCACTTGTGGGACATGGGTGTCACTGGCTGGCCAGCATTTATTGCGCTCTCTACTTGCCCTTGAGAAGGTGGTTGTGAGCTGCTGGAATTCACTCCTAAACTTCTCTGACTGCCCATCTCCCTCTTCTAATGTCCCCTTTTGTGGCTCAGCATTAAACGTTGTTTGACAGTTGCTCCGGTGGGATGTTTTACATTGATATAGTACCTTAAACATTGTCAGTTGCACTGATGAAAGTTTCCCTCAGAAATATTTCTCCTCAATCTGAATACAAAACCCTCTCCTCCCTCCCAAGCCCCTGATACAGCTCTAATTGACAACTCACTCAGTCCAGGGTTTGCAGACTCCACCTTCTCTGTCAGAATATGTACCATTCCTGCAGTCACTGCAAACTGTGTTCCTGAAGGAGTCACCTAGGAGGGAACAAAAAGGAATGATTATTTTGTAATTCTTATCTCCCAAAGATCTGCTTACCCTTATTTCATCCTGAACACTCCTACCCATATTGTTGTGAGATGCTCTGAAGGGATGCCATTTGGTGAAATCAGTCATTCAATTTAACAAAGAGAAATTGTAGACAGCTATTGAGAAGTTTCAGTGTGTAACACACACTACCTAGTGAGATACAGTGGGTACAGGGCAACTGGGGTCACACAGTGGGCACAGGGGAAGTAGGGTCACACAGAGCAGGTACAGGGCAAATGGGGTCACATGGAGCAAACACAGGGGAATGGGTTCACACTGAGTGGGCACAGGGGGAGTGGGGTCACATAGAGCAGATACAGGGCAAATAGGGTCACACGGAGCAAGCACAGGGGGGATTGGGGTCACACAGAGCAAGCACAGGGGGGAGTGGGGTCACACGGAGCAGGCACAGAGGGGAGTGGAGTCACATGGAGCAGGTACAGGTGGAGTGGGGTCACACGGAGCAGGCACAGGGGGAGTGGGGTCACACGGAGCAGATACAGGAAGAATGGAGTCACACAGAACAGATACAGGGAGAGTGGGGTCGTACTGAGTGGGCACATGGGGAGTGAAGTCACATGGAGTGGGTATGGGGTAGTGGGGTGACATGGAACAGGTACAGGGGGAGTGTGGTCACATGGAGCAGATACAGGTGGAGTGGGGTCACATGGAGCAGGTACAGGTGGAGTGGGTCACATGGAGCAGATACAGGTGGAATGGGGTCACATGGAGCTGGTACAGGTGGAGTGGGGTCACATGGAGCTGGTACAGGTGGAGTGGGGTCACATGGAGCAGGTACAGGGGGAGTGGGGTCACATGGAGCAGGTACAGGGGGAGTGGGGTCACATGGAGCAGGTACAGGTGGAGTGGGGTCACATAGAGCAGGTACAGGTGGAGTGGGGTCACACAGAGCAAGTATAGGGCAAGTAGGGTCACACTGAATGGGCACAGGGTGAGTGGGGTCGCGTAAACCAGTAATGTGGAGGGAGAGGCCAAACGGTCAGATTCCATGCCTGTTTGCTGTGCCATTGAGATTGCCGGTCCAAGGTGTGGAATCATTAGCAAAACAGAGAGATTTTTGTCACAACCCAGCAAATAGCTCATCTCCAGAATAAACCAACTATAAACTTCCTCTGGGGAAAAGCGGAACCTAAAGGCAGGTTAACTGAAAGAAGGTTCTCAATCTCCAGTGTCTTGCTTCTGGGTAATGTGGCAGCACGTATGTCAGGGTGTCACTGATGTGCCTTCAGTCAATAAGTGTCTGAGTGTTTTGACACTTGAATAGCTTAGCTGTGAGAGCGTTTCGGTAAGAGGACATGGTGTCTAAAGACTAAGATACTTGTCCTTTGAGCAAAGTACCAGTATCCTGTCTCCAAACAGTGGAATCCAGATCCGGAGAAGCAGGAAGAAGCTTTCATTGTGATCATTGCCATTAGTTAAGTCACGACCATGCTAATTAATGGAGGCCATGAAGCGAGAACATGGAACACAAGTGGAACATTCAAGTCATGCTGACCACAGGATGTGGTTCTGTAATAATGTTTTTAGCCAAATCTGCATTGGGTGACTCAACAAGTTGTGATACTAAATATCAAACAGATCCATTCAACTTTGCACGTTTAGGGGCTGAAAGGCGAGTACGCCATTGCCCTCAGTCTCTGCGGCTTATGATCTGATGTGGTGTTTCCAGACACATATGCGAGTCTGAGCCATTGTCATCTGACTTTTCAGATGATTATTCAAAGGAATATTTCTGTGTTTCCTTTTTCCCAAGACCTTTGTATTCAAGTTACTGATGAGAATATAACATCGCAGTGTGAAAACTTAGCAAGGGTCCAAACTTGACACCAGAAGAGAGAGTCTGAGACCACCTTGAGTTAGGATTCAAGGATTTGAGACAACCTGCTTCAACCACAATGTGGATAAGTGTGAGGTTATCTGCTTTAGCAGAAGGAATGAAGGTGCAGAATATTTCTTAAATGGTGAGAAATTGGAAAGTATAGATGTCCAAAGAGATACAGTTGTTTAAAAGTCACTGAAAGCTAGCATTCAGGTGAAGTAAGCAATTCAGTAAACAAATAGTATGTTAGCTGTTATTGCAAAAGGGTTGGGTTCAGTCATGCTTCAATTGTACAGAACACCAGCTGGACCACACCAAATTTGGAGTATTGAGTTATTTCTGGTCTCCTTGACCAAGGAAGGATTATTTGCCATAGAGGGAGTGCGGTAGAGATTCACTAGACTGGTAGCCCTGTCCTATAAGGAGAGATTGAGGAATCATGACGATATTTGCTGGAGTTTGGAAGAGTGGGGGATTGTCTCATAGAAACTTACAAAATTCTTAAATGGGTAGACAGCATAGATGTAGAAAGGATGTCTCCCCTGGCTCTGGTTATGGGATCTAGAACTAGGGACTCAGTCTCAGAACAAAAGGTAAACCATTTACAAAGGAGGTGAGAAGGACAAACTTCACTCAATGGTAGATAATCTTTTGAACTTCTCTCCCCCAGAAGGCAGTGAAAATTCAGTCACTGAGTAAATCAAAGACATTTTATATATTGATAGTTATTAATGACATCAAGGGATATGGGAAATGAGTGGGGATATGATGCTGAGGTAGATGAGCCATGACAGGGCAAACTTGAGGGGCTGAATGGCTTACTGTGCTCCTAGGTTCCTATATTCCCACAAGTGTAAATAACACAATGCACAGTGTTTATCAGGTTGATCCCTTTACTGCTCTCCATAAAGGAATCATTAACCACAGCAGGAGATTGGGGCTAAGACTTGGTTGAATGGTGAGGCTGATCTTTGTGAGTTTCGTACCTTTATCCTGCTCATTATGTGTAACTATTACAGTAACTTTATCAAAGTAGGTGATCTCATCTCTGTTACTTCACTGAAAGAATTATAAACAAAAGCTTGAAAGAATTGCGATATTGGTCCTTTTTAGTAATGGATAAGGGTCCGCAATTCGCAGTACTCACCAAAACGTGGGGACTTGAGCAAGTGGCATCATCAACTTACAGCCCATTGGCAAATCATAGAGTATAGTCAAGTCTTCATGACTCTTCAAAAAATGCATGGAGTCCAATCAACTAGGAATATCTTGCTCGGTTGGTTGTATACCACACTCTAAGTGAAGATGGAGATTCACTTACCAGACAAAGATGCATGGATCAATGGTGCAAGACACCATGTCCTCTTGCTGGAACACTCTCACAGCTAAGATATTCAAGGGACAAAACACTCAGACACTTACTGACTGAAGGCACATCAGTGACACCCTGACGTACATGCTGCCACATTACCCAGAAGCAAGACACTGGAGATTGGGAACTTTTTCTGAAATGCAGTTAACCAGCAGTCCTTTGCCCTGTCTACTCCCCTCCAAAAAAAGTTGTAAAATCTACAAGACTAGGAACTCCTGCCAGTCTGACACAATCACAGGTCACAAATCTCAAAGACAGCATCTGCCTCAAGAATTATATGTTACTGTGGTTGTCTGTTTGTTATTGTGTTTTGTTTGGTTAAGTTTCTGAATTCCTCTACCTGTGAGTTTTTTTTTAAGTGTTCTGAAATAGATAGGTTTTGGTTTTCTTTGAAGGGAGAGATGTGATATGATGTGTGATTGTGTCAGAGTCTTCATTGTGTAATTTATCAGGTGATTACTTGGTTTTCATCCTTATTGCTTTCTCTCTTCTATGTGTGGTCCAGTAAAGCGTTAAACATGTGGACTCCTGAAACTACTGTAAATAATTTGTTATTTTATGCACTTAAAACATTAAAAAATAATTTTGTAAAGGGAAGTGGTAGATATGAACTTGTACCGAACTGCAAGTAACTGCACAATATGGTCATGACAAAGAAGGACATTCTTGTATGAAGAGATAGTAAACATTGCCGATGCTGGAGTCAGAGATAACACAGTGTGGAGCACAGCGGGACCCAGAAAATGAAGATTTTCCGAAGAAGGGTCCCAACCCAAAATGTCAACTTTCTTGCTCCTCCGATGCTGCCTGGCCCGCTGTGCTCCTCCAGCTCCACACTGTGTCATTCCTGTATGAAACATTGCTGTAAGTAGAAGCAACTTATAAGAATCAATCAATTCAACTATCTAGGAAGTGCTGTAATATCCAATGTCAAATGCAGTATTGAAACCCAAGAAAGGACTGGACGCGCCAGAAGTGATTTTGTAAAATTCAGCAACATTCTAAAAAGGTCACCTTAAGTCTTGAAAGAAGAATCTGAATCGAGAAAGTGGTCAGGAACAAATATGGATGTGAAACTTAGAACATTGAGAAGATGACGTAAAGAAAATCAACAATTTAGATATGTGCTTAAGAAGGATCCTTGGGGTAAGAGAAAAGAACTAACAAAGATGTACAGAGCAGGGTGGGTAGAGCAAGAGGACTCTTAAATAATTCCAAAAGAAAACAAATGTAGTTTTTCAGGCATTTTATTTGTGCAAAAACGTTGGAGGCTAATCAACTCAGGAGGATTCATGGAAGAGGCTAATAATGAGGGAAGGAACTAGACAACATTAAAGATTGACTTAGTCAGAACTTCCAATAACAAGGCCATCCAGTTAATCCATAACCAGAAAGTTTGGAAGACAATGACCTCTGATGTTCCCAGCATAGCACGGAGTTAAAATGTTTCATTCTAACAACTCAGCACTATGCCCACTATTTAAAAAGGTATTGACAGAGACCAAACCAAAAACCGTTCAGGAAGCCCTGAAATGGATTGAGTGGTTCATGCAGTTCCCAGAGTCAAACTGAGCCGCACTAACCAGGCACGGCCCAGTTTTATTCCGTTGTCTGATGTCACATGAAACAAGAGTAGGGGCTCCAGGTGACCTCAGCATCATTGTAACAGTAACAGTCTGAATCTGACCTATGTCGCAGGTGGAAATTGATGTTTTCTAATCAAACTTAGAGAAGTTGGGGCAGGTAGGACTTCAACCCAGGCCTCCTGTTTCAGAGATAGAGACACTCCCATATAAACCCCTTCCAGCATGTGGATATTGGGGTCACTCATGAAAACTATCAGGCTAGAATAAGATAGGAAGTGAGGCTTCTATCCATGCCAAAATTCTGACATGAAAGATATGTGAGAACTGGAGAGAAGGAAAAGAGTGGGAGGGAGACAGGCATTTTGGAGCGTTGAAAGATGATTTTCCAATTGGAAGAAGACATGAAATAGTAATGACCAGGCAATATGCTGATGATAAAGAACTGTACTGATGCATTATTCAAACTATATCCCGACAATGTTCACATAATTATTAAATAGAAATAAAACAAACATTTCAAAATAAAACTAGTCTCTTCAGGACCTCTTACCTTTCTGTTGCACTTGTTGTCCTTTCTTGCACACTTTATGGGCTTCACAGGATTTGCACTCTTTATTTGTACACATGAAGCCCTCGACACATTGACACTTGGTGTTAGAGATTGATGTACAGGATGCTAAGATCAAAAACTTCCCTTTCAAAATCAGAAAAACAAATGTCATTGGCAGGAATGACACTGGGTATGAAGAGATAGAAGGAAGAGTAGAAAAGGAAGAGAGAATAAAACATTGGCAAAAAGAGAAGCATAGGAACATGACATAGGAGCAAGAGTAGGCCATTCAGCCCTTCAAGCCCACACTGCCATTCAGTTAGATCATGGTCGACCTTCTGTTTCAACACCATTTTCCCACATTATCCCTGTATCCTTTGACAATTTTAATATATGGAAACCTATGAACCTAAGTGTTTGACATATATATTTGATACAGCCCCCTGAAGTAGAGAATTCTAAAGATTTGCCACCCTCTGAGTGAAGAAATTCCTCAGTTCTAGATGGCCTGCCCCTTATTCTGAGACAGTGTCCCCTGATTCTAAACCCTCAAACCAAGGAAGCATCCTGCAGCAATTCACTGATCCCTATTACGAATTACATATGCTCAAATGAGAGCACTTCTCTTTCTGCTAAACTTCTGATCTGCTTGTCAATTCAATTTCACCTTCCTGTAAGCTCCCCCCACCCCCAACCCTTGACTCCTTTGTCTATCAAAAATCTCTTTCACTCAATCTTGAATTAATTCAATAACACAGCCTCCAAAATTTCCACAGGCTAACAACGCTCAGAAAAAAAAGTCTAATCTGTTTTAAAAGGAAGATCTCTTGTTCTTAAATTATGTCCCCTAATTCTAGTCTCCTCACAAAAGGAAACATCCTCTGAGTATCCACCCTACTGAGTGCCCTTAAAACGTTTCATCTCAATAGATCACCTCTCGTTCCTTTTAAACCCCTTCTAAATGGGTATAGCCCAAACTGTTCAATCTTTCTTCATAAAATAATGCCCTCATCCTAGGAATGAGTCAATTCAATCTTCTCCTAATTGCTTCTAACACAATTATATCCTTTATCAATACTGCTATCAATAAAGCTTCCCTATTTTCACATTCCATTCCTCTTGCCTTCCTAATCACTTACTGTACCTGCAAACTAATTTTGTGATTCACGTACCAGGACACTCAGATCCGTCTATACCCCCAGCTTTTATAATCTCTCTCTGTTTAATTAATATGTTGTGTTTCTATTCTTCTTGCCAATGTTGACAAGTTTACATTTTCCCACATTATACTCTGTATGTCACATTTTTGTCCAGCCACTCAAACTATCCTTCTTCAGATCCCTCTCAGGATCGGAAAGTGAATACGCAGTAAAACAGCACCAGGTATTTTTTTGTAGAAGGCACGTACCTCCAATACACTGTCGACACCTGTTGCAGGAATGGCCATGATTTGGGTTCTCGGTGTACGATCCTGCTGGACAGGGTGTGCACTCTTGATTCTTGGAATTCAAGTACCAGCCTGTTGTCGAGAAAATAAGTCACTAAATAGTCAAAATAATTGACAGCAAGCGCAGTTCTCCTTCATTCCTCCTCTAAACACTTGTCCTATGTTTAGTTCCTCAAACAGTGCTCAACCTCCAGCACCTTACCCATTCTCAGAATGTGTTAGCGAGTATGAAGGGATCAAACAAGATTTGAGACCTATGCGGAACAGCAGGAGACTGGGATAGCTATTTCAATTTCAGAGTCAGAATACGCATGATGGGCCACATGGCCTCTTTCCAGTCTGCATCTTTCTGTGAGTCTAATCTTATTCATGCCTGATAACCCGGCAGACACTCCCAGCAATGGATAGGGTGGATACCAGGAGGATGTTTCCTTGTATGGGGAAACTAGAATTAGGGAATATAATTGAATATCAATAAGACAGATGAGATTTATTTTTTCTCTGAAGGTTGTTAGTCTGTGGAATGCTCTAGATAATAATCTGGGGCAGTTTAATACAAATTAGACAAAACACCCAAAGAACTGCAGATGCTGGAAATCAGAAACAAAAAACCCAAAATGTTAAATCTGCTTTTTCTCCACAGACCTGCTGAGTTTTCCCAGCAAATTCCTGATCCAACTTTCTTGCTCTTCTGATGCTGCCTGGCCTGCTGTGTTCCTCCACTGTGTTATCTTTGTTTCAAGACAAATTAGGTTTGTGTTCTGAGGCACTGTCTTTCCACATCTGGGAATTGAAATTAAATTTCCCTCCAAAAGGGGCTGGCTGGAAGGAAAACACCCAATGTTCCCAACTTGCTTTCAACAGCTCAGCTGAGTCACTCAGAATCAATGAAATTAAGTTTAACCCATAACATTCAATTCACCGCCCTTCTCTTTCCTTGCTCCCATGCTCTCTTGCTCTATCTCTCCACATGTCTCTTTAAGCAGGGCCAGTCAATGGGGAGACAAAATATTTCTTTGTCTTGTAAAATACTCCAATGAGATTTCCCACAGGATCTTTTATTTTACAGGCTGGGGGATAGATTTATGCATAAAATCCAGGCTGACACTCCAGTGCAGCCTTGAGGGACTGCTGCATTGTTAGAGGTGCTAGCTACTAGAACAGATGCTGAACTGAGGCATTCTTGGATGGATGTAGATCATTCTTGGCATTACTACAAAGAGGACCAAAGGAGTTATCCTTGGTGATCTGGCCAATATACATCCCTCGATCAACATCATTACAAGAGATTATCTGACTATTACCACAATGCTGCTTGAGAGAACTTATTCTGACTCAAACACTGCCAGCACTGCGACACTCTCACAGTGACTATATTTGAAAAAGTTACTAATAGGCTGTAAAGAGCTTTGCAGCTTCCTGAAGTTCTGAAAGACTCTGTACAAATGGAAATATATTCTTTCATTGAATTGAATAGGGATCCTTCAACCAGGCATTAGCCAGGTTTAAACTCGTTCAACTGTCACATAATGATTCTTAACTATTCAAATAATCTTGTCACATTTGAATCAGAGTCATTTATAAACCTGAAAATTCCCAGTTAGTAATTGAATCTGAATGTTACCCTGGTACTCTATCTGATGACTCACCTTCTCACCTTCTCCTTTGATCTCTTTTATCATCAAACAAGTAATAAGTCTGCCTCTTCACAACTGCCCCCTTAGACTTGCATACCTCAGCCTCTGAGTCAGTGCCTCATCCTATATTCTTTCACTTTCTCAGAGCCTCATTCCTTAGACATTAGGAATATAGGAACAGGAATAGGCCATTTAGCCCATCAAGCCTGTTCCAAAATGTAATATGATCATGGCTGATGTGCCCCTTCAATGTCTATTACTCACACTATCCCCATAACTTGTTACGCCATTGATAAGCAGAAATCTATCAATGTCTGTCTTAACCATATTCAAGGACGGAGGTTCCATCGCCCCCTGGGGTAGACAATCTAAAGATTCAGAGATAGTAGGAACTGCAGATGCTGGAGAATCTGAGATAACAAGGCATAGAGCTGGATGAACACAGCGGGCCAAGCAGCATCATAGGAGCAGGAAGGCTGACGTTTCGGGCCTAGACCCTTCTTCCTCTCACCTATCCCCTCCTCCCACCTCAAGCCCCACCCCCATATCCTACCTACTAACCTCATCCCGCCCCCTTGACCTGTCCGTCCTCCCTGGACTGACCTATCTCCTCCCTACCTCCCCACCTACACTCACCTTTACTGGCTCCATCCCCACCTCTCTGACCTGTCTGTCTCCTCTCCACCTATCTTCTCCTCTATCCATCTTCTATCCGCCTCCCCCTCTCTCCCTATTGATTTCAGAACCCCCTTCCCCTCCCCCATTTCTGAAGAAGGGTCTAGGCCTGAAACATCAGCCTTCCTGCTCCTATGATGCTGCTTGGCCTGCTGTGTTCATCCAGCTCTACGCCTTGTAATCTAAAGATTCACATGGTCTCATTTTCCCCATCTCAGTCCTAAATGGCATCCGACACAAGTCAACCCCAGGCTTAAGAGGGGAGAGGATATCAGTGAACATCCTATAGATTTATGGGTTTCATTTGGAGAACCCCTTCTAGCCAAGGGCACTGAGGCTAATGACTGGCTGAATCAGGTACCTCAGCACAGGCCGGAGATTGTACCTAGCACCATCTTGGACTTGATGATGAGACAGGATGACTGACTATTAAACTATTCAGGAGTTTTCCATGTAACTGTGGGAGAGGCTGATGTTCACCTTGTTTTTTCAAGATTGCGCTAATATGGTAGGACTCGTTGGAGCCCATCTGCTCCAGGGCAATGGCATCATTTTCTCAATGTACTTCTTTTATCTTCATCTTTGAGGCTGGAGTGGTATCAGTAGGCAGTGGTTACAGCATTGGCGGTGTGGGCTGCAACTCCTGGTGGCAATGCCTGGTGCAAGGACTGCTGGCAGCAGTAGGTCCAGATCCTGAACTCTTGGCGATGGCAGCGGCGGTGCCTGGGGTGAGGACTACTGGTGGTGGTAGGCCCGGAGCCTGGACTCTCGGCAGTGGCAGTGCCTGGAGCAGGGGCTCCTGGCAGTGGTAGACTCAGAGCGTTAACTCTTGGTGGTGTGAGTGAGGTGGCAGCGGCAGTAGCACTGGGGTCTCCCAGGACATTCCTGGAGTGGGACTCCCTGAGGACCGGAATACCTTATAAAGACCTTGCAGAAGCCTTGAAGCCGTGCCCCAATTTGAACAGAAGATGAACTCTTACTTAAGTAATTTCTTTTTATCCTTATTGTAACCCAAAATGGTGCTGGATTGTGGCAACAAAACACTTTTCACTGTATCTTCCAGATATATGTTCATATAACTGTGTTTTACATTCACTGCTTGCCAAAACATTATCAGCATTATCCTTTCACTGCTCAGCTCCTGATTAGAAATGTTCTTACAATCACCAATAAATATGTTGGGAAATCACAAAGATCACCAGTGCACTCTGTCCTCAAGTGGACCTGCTGGCCTTGGGGAATACCAGACTGTCAAATGGATCCTGGATAGTAAGGAATGAGGTCGCAATGCAGGAACAGTTTATGAACATCGCAGAACAGGACAGTGACAAGGGAAAGGGGAATACTGAGTTCCCTATCCCTCACCCAAAAAATATACATTTCATAATCAAATTGTGGATTTCCCTGCCAAATGATTGTCTAGAGATTTGGGGGAGTTTTTGAACTATTTCTATTTCCTGGAATAAACAAGAAACACCAAGAAATAGTTCAGATGCCTTGCGTCCCTTCCCCCCACCCCCATGCTCATCGGGCGACTCATTACAGTTTCTCCAGCATAGGAAGATCCCAGGTGTAGAGACTGTAGGGCCAGCTGACACCAAAATGGGATGAAGATGAGGGGGGCGGGGTGCAATGGAACCCCAGAAATCAGAAACAGGGTAAAAGGCGTTGGGGGTGGGGGGGAAGAGAACAGAAAAGGTGGGTGGGCAGGGGGCCTGGATAAAGAGGTAGAGGGGATGGGAGGAAAAAAGTAAAGGATATAGGGAGAGGTAGAGGGGTGTTAAAGTTTGGAGGGAGGGGTATGGGGTGAAGGGGAGGGGATATCAGTCCTGCAGCGATGTACAGCCCTGAACGTACAGAGTCCGGTGACTTGTAAAGATGGAATCTGACTCCAGAGATCTTCAAAATGTGTGACTGGGTTGTCAGCCTCAGACAATCCTCGTAAACAGCAGTATTTCAAACAAAAACTCCAGCAAAATTCTGCAGTTGGGCATTTTTCAATGCCTGGGGTGAGAGGCCTGGGGGTAATGGTTTCACACTATCACTGTCAGGAGAGGTCAGTGATCCCGGCACAGGAGAGAGACTGGCTGCAAAATCACCAAAACCAGGGGCTTGTTTACAGTTCCCCCAACTCCGTTCGTTTTTTTTAATGACCGCGGACACTTTAAACTTCCCGACTCTCACTGAATGTGAAGGAGTTCTTGGCCGTTCTCTAAACCCACTGGTTATTACAGTCTCAGCTTGTTTTACATTCCCGCTGCTGATATCAGGAGATTACAAAACCCTGACAGAATACGGGTTGGAAATAGAAGAGACCGAGTGAAGGGAGGTCTGAGATAAGGAGCGAAAGAGGGACACAGGCTGAGACAGAGAAGGGGTGAGGGGGTGAGACTGAGTGACAGAGACTGAAAGTGAGAGAAAACGAGTCTGACAATTAAGAAAAATAAAGAGGAAGATTGCGACAGAGAGCGCTGCACTCAAATAGATAAGCGGTCTCGGTAATTTCATACATTCCCCAATAAATCAGCATTCGAGGTTTTGGTTTATTTACACTCTGGCGTTTTTCAGGAGTGCATCATTGAACCAGAGTCAGGGTCAGATTCAGTAAGGACAAACGTACAATCCCAGGAAAACACACCAAGTGCGCAGTAAAGATACTTCCTAAATCTAAAATCTGCGGGAGACTCGCTGCGTACCTGCAGGGCAATCCTTTCCCGAGGATATCTTCACCAGCAGGAATAGCACAAGTAGCAGTGGCCAGCTCTCCATCCTCTCTGTACACGGGCCGTTCTCGGAATGAACTGAGAGCTGCCCTCACTCTCTCAGGGTTTAGCCAGTGACACCGGAGGGGGCGGCCAGGCTGACGTATTATGAGGGGGGGGGGGGAATCCCCAGAGAGCGCGAGGTCTGGGGGTGAGGGTTGAACCTACCCCCCTCCACCTCAGAAACACGAAACAGCCCTCCCTCATCCGGAGGGAGACCAGCGGCTTCAAGTACAACTGTTTCTAAGCCCCTGTCCCCCCGCCCACAGGCCGGGACTAGCAAGCAGCGTTTGCCCTGTCCGCTCTCACTGTGCTCCCCCAATCCCCTAGTCTCTATATTTCAAACGGGTGATGGGAGTTTCCCATTAAGTTTATGATCTGGTCATTCTGGTAACTCTGAAAGATTTAAGGACTGGAGTTATTTAACCGAGACTGCGGGGATGACCCCCTCCCCTCCCCCCGCATATTGGCAATAAAAAATTGTGTAACATCCACAGGAACATAAAAGCATCTCATCATATCCACAGCTCTTTTATATCCACAGGAGGAACCTATTCCCTGTCAAAGCACTGGTTCAGAGGGTAGGACTTCTATCTGAGAGCCTGAAGGTCAAAGAAGCTAGTTCAGAATCCAAGGAAACACTCACTCTGCTACACTGTGGAGGTGCTGCTTTTCTAAGGGAAGATTCAACTGTCTGCTCTCTCAGAGGGGTGTGAAAGGTTCTAGAAGGCAGTAAGAACAGGGACGACTTCCTGGTGTTCGACTGAATCCCCAATAAACTGCACTCAAATGGTTTCGCTACACAGCACATTTTGCTGTGTGTAAATTGGCCACCACCTTTCCTACCTTATAACAGTGCCTGCACAACAACTTGCATTCACATAGCACCTTTGACAGAATAAAACATCCCAAGGTATTGCCATAACACCATAGGTCATTGGGCTAATCCGCCATTCAGTTAAGATCATAGCTGAACCAACACTCCTCATATTCACTTCCCTGCCTCTTCCCCTTAAAACTTGTTTCCCTGCTCTGTGCTCTCTTTGGCGAGGAGTTCTGAAAGTAAACAGCTCTCTGAGCGAAGAAATTCCTCCTCATCTCAGCTTTAAATTGCCGTTTCTTTATTCTGAGACTATGCCCTCTGGTCTTAGACTCTCCCACTAGAAAAAAAACATTCTCTCAGAGTTCTGAGGAAGGGTCACTGGACCCGAAACGTTAACTCTGATTTTTTCTTCACAGATGCTGCCAGACCTGCTGAGTTCTTTCCAGCAACTTCTGTTTTTGTTCTGTCAGCATTTACTCCGTCTCGCCCTTAAGAATCCTCTACATTTCAACAAGATCATCGCTCATTGTTCTAAACTCTAATGAGTCCCAAAACTTTTACTCATTCAGCAATCCCTCCATACCAGGGATCATCCTAGTAAACCTCTCTGAACTGCCTTTAATTAAATTATATCTTTCCTTAGATAAGGGACTTAAACTGTCAACGTGTCCCAAATGTGGTCGCACCAGCACCTTGCACTGTTGCAGTAAGTAGTTTCATAGGAGCCTCATGAAGAACAAAGATGCATTTGGTCCAAAACTCGGTCATAAAAGCAGGTTTTCAGGAGCATTTTTAGGAAGATGGGGGAGCGAATCACCGAGGTTTTGGGACAGAATCTCAGAGCTTCCTTCAATCCTAATTCATTGGCTGTAAAGTACGTTGGGACGTCGCAAAAGGCGCTTTATAAATGCAAATCTTCAGCTACTCTTCTGTAACTGAACCAGATGGCGACTGCTCTGTGTCTGTTTTCCACTGACTTGCTTTTAGTGCTGGATACTTTACTCCCAAAATCAATTTTACTCAGTCCGGAAAACTCCAACTGACTCCCTACAAACACCAAAATGCTGCTGTGAGGTCAAGATCCTTTTTGATTCCACTCTGGATTCTCCTAGTTCTTATTTTAAATTCTCCTAGCTCTTATTTTAAATTATCCTAGCTCTAATTTTAAGGTGTCCCCATCCCCGAATCCACATGAAACAGTTCTTTTTTTAAATTAAATCTTGTTTCTAATCTTTCCCCGTTATCATTTCGAACAGAGATAGTAGGAACTGCAGATGCTGGAGAATCCGAGACAACAAGGTGCAGAGCTGGATGAACACAGCAGGCCAAGCAGCATCATAGGAGCAGAAACGTCAGCCTTTCAGGCTGATTCTATACTGGAGGAGCACAGCAGGCCAGACAGCATCAGAGGAGCAGGTAAGCTAATGCTTTGGGTCAGGACCCTTCTTCAGAAATGCTGTTCCTACTCCTCTGATGCTGCCTGGCCTGCTGTGTTAGCTCCACACTGTGTTATCTCAGACTCCAGCATCGGCAGGTCTTACTATCTCTATTCTATGCTGAGTGTGCAAACATACTGCTAAATGGATTCACGCTGCCCAAGAGGAAGTATGCGTATTCACACCTTCGTTTACTTTTTCCAGGCTGCCTCTCACGTCTAAAATCTATAAACATAACAATTTATCATTCATTGTTGTGCATACGAAACAAAATCTGGATGAGATATGACGTTGTTCCCACATCCGAGATAGCATTTTTTTTTGGAATTTATGGATGGTTCCTAATGCCCGTTTTCCGACTGCGATTCCTCGCATCATTAAATGGACGCATTTGTGGGTTCTTTGGTATTCATACTCCCTGATTGTATCTAATCTCCGTTCAGCCCTGTAATGTGGTCTCAGCGCAACGTTGTCACATTCGCTCTCCTCCAGTCAGCCGTGCGGAGGGATTAACCAGAGCTCTCGATATAAATGCCCTGACTGGAGCAGCGCCACCTCCTGTCGGAAAGTTGCGAGGAGAATCCATCACTTTCGGCTTTAAAATAAAACAAAAGAATTGCGGTTGCTGGAAATCTGAAATAAAAACGGAAAACGCTGGAGAATCTCGGCAAGTCTAGCAGCATCTCGTTAGAATCCCTACAGTGTGGAAACAAACCATTCAGTCCATCGAGACCACACCGACCCTCCCGCCCTATCCCTGTATCTAAACCACCCAGCCTGCACAATTTTAGCATGGCCAATCCACCTAACCTACGCACTTTGGACTGTGGGTGGAACCGGACCAACCCCGAGCAGAGTGTGCAAACTCCACACAGACAGTCAACCAAGGTTGGAATTGAACCTGGGTCCGTGGCGCCATGAGGCAGCAGTGCTAACCGCTGAGCTGCTACCCCACTCCACAACCATATTTCCAAACCCGCACCCCCACCCTGTGGCGAGAGAAACAGTATAACTCTCCTAAGAATAAATAATAAACTTCAATTAAGGTTTTCAGGCACACACTCCTATTCTATGTCAGTGTCACACTGGCAAAATGATTAATGACTCAACAATTGCTGCTGGGATTGGTGTTGAAATGTTCAGCAATGACTCAGCCAGTTAAAGGCAATGACTTCAGAGATAGTAGGAACTGCAGATGCTGGAGAATCCGAGACAACAAGGTGCAGGGCTGGATGAACACAGCAGGCCAAGCAGCATCATAGGAGCAGA